AAAAAAAAAAAAAAAAACTCCGTCGAAAAAATTCAACTTCAATGCAATCTTTTATCGTACCTTCGCAGATATGTCTCCGGTGCGATGGACTCGCCGGAAGTCGTCGAGCTCGGAGTCTGAAAGGAACTGCTACAACGTGCAGACGTCGCAAGTCACCACCGAGCGGAGTCCCACGAAGAAGGACAAGAAAAGGATCCAAGAAGAGAGGCGGAGAATATGCGAGAAACGTAATCCTCTCCTGGATCGCGTGAAAAACACCAGGCTGAGCTTCTTCAAGGATCGAGATTCCGACGACGAGGACCAGGAAGAGGAGGAAGACCCGGAGAAACTGCAATTTCGTTCCATGTGCGAGCTGAATCAACACGGTCTAACCAGAAACGAGTTTCGTAGATCCGTCTGCGAGTCCGACCTGAAAGAGATCATCGAGGAGGAGAAGACTCAAGCAAAGAGGAAAAGACGTTCCAAATCTCAGAGCAGACTTCCCTACAGAAAGCACCAAGAAGAACGTTTCTCCTTCCTGGGTTTTCGAGGTTCGCCTACTCAAAAATCTGCAACGTTATCCAAGGAGAACGTAATCGAAGAAACCGCCAGTCAGCAGAATCGCAGATGGAAGAAGAGCAAGGAGTTCGTTCAGGATCACCAGACCTCCGGACGATCTGTGGACCAAGACACGGACGTTTCCACGAGAGCGGAAGACTCGGCGTTTAAAGACGGCTCTCAGTTCGACAGCATAACTCCGTCCAGCTGTCTAGCGGCCAAGTTCCGAGCGATGCAAGACAGGTACCTGAAGAGCTCCACCAGCAAGCTGATCGCGAAGATCTACAAGAAGGAGGGGAAGGACAGGGAAAGAAGAAGACTGAGGAGTTTCTCGTATGGAACTCTGCCAGGCCTCGAGGAACTCCGAACGAATCCTCTCTACGAGGAACAGGACCAAGACGACAACGACTCAGGTATATTGGACAACGACTCTGCGACCAGTTCTCTGCTCGACGACAGGTGCAGCAGCAGTGCTTCCGGTTTGCTGACCACTCTGAACGACTCGGCTCTGAATTCTCCGCCTCAGTTGCCGCCCAGGAAACCTTCTTCCTCGATCGTAGACGTGGAGAGAACGGCGAGACTGTTCTCCAGCTTGGACATCTACTGCGGCAGGAACGAGGGAAAGGGTTGCAAGCGGGATGTATCCAGATTGAGCGCTCTTGAGGACTCTTCGAGCCAGATTTGCCAGGCGGCGAACAACGAGCTGATAGATCGACAGGATCGCGAAAGTTCGAAGTCTCCCGAAGGGAAGAACGTGATCGAGAGGCTCGAGAGCAAGGACTCCTTGAGAGCGGAGAGTTATCCAAGTGCTAGGTTACCTGTTATCAGAAACAGACCTTACACTACTGAAACGATGGTCGTGAAGCTTCCTAGGGAAAGTTCTGACCAGTGTTTGGGCATTTTCATCGCGAAAACAGCCGAGTCTAGTCCTGGTTACCTGGTGGCGCACGTGGTACCTAATGGTTTGGCCGACAAAGAAGGTACGTTGAGGATAGGCGACGAGATTTTGATAGTTAACGGCAAGAGACTGCGAGGATTGAGCATGGCCGAGGCTAGGAAGATCCTTGGGAGCGGAAGCGGACCCGGCGACGTGGACATCGTCGTCTCGAGGTATACCGCCATGGATCAGTCTCCGAAAAAGTTGAGAGAGAGCAGCGTCGATTACGAGAACGTCCACATGGAGAACGGTCACGGTGTTATCGTCGAGAACTCGCCTAAGTCGCATTTTAGGAAGCATCACACGAAACATCATCGCGACAGGAGGAACGAGTGCAACAGATCGACTTCCTCGGAGAAGACGGTCGTGAACGTGGACAACTGTGGCTCGCAGAGTGTCTCGAATTTTTGCACTTTACCGAGGAGGCCCAGGAACACTGTCTCGACGTTCTTGACGGTCGTGTTCCAGAAAGGTCCTGGAAAGAAGTCGCTGGGATTCACCATTGTGGGTGGAAGCGACAGTCCTAAAGGAAGCATCGGTGAGTGGTTCATTTTCATCGCGAATCTAGTGGATCGTTCGGGAAGTTCCGAGCGAAATTCAAACCCTCGTATCTCTGCTTCTAATTGATACAGCGGTAAAAGTTCAACGGTGTTTTCCTCGACGGTTAAAGGCGAATCCGACGCACTCTTTGAATTATTCGTAAGACGAACAGGGGTGGATATAAGTCGAACTGTGTCTTCTGCGGCGGAGCGTGGACGTTGAATTTTTCGTGGCAACGCTCCGCCGCGGAAAATATAGCTCGCCTTGGGAGTAATTTCAGGGGTATGTCGGATTTGTCTTCGAGTAACGAGCAAAATACCTTTTTTGGTTTTCGTCGCTATCTCGATTAGAAACGGAGATACGTCGGTTTCAATCCTTCCGACATTTCGTTGCGAATTTTCCGAGCCACCCGGTATGTACTTCCCCGTTCACCTTACGAATAATTCGAGCGGCGCGTTGGGTTCGTCTTCGAATAACGAGCGAAATACCTTTTTTGGTTTTTGTCGCTATCTCGATTAGAAACGGAGATACGACGGTTTGAAGTTTTCCTAAGTTTCGCTACGAACTTTCCGAACCAGCTGATACGTTTCTCCAGGGTTCGTGTGTAAGAATGAGAGTGGCATGTTTTCATTATCATCTATGAAACTGTTACATTTTCTAATTTTAACAGGTTAATCTACGGTATACGTGTTTACAGTAAAACGATGAACAGTAACAGACTATCTGATCTCCTGTTGTAACTGGTCACTATTGTACAAGTTTCTGCGTGTGTTTAATTAGGTGGCAGTAGTTTGCGCTAATTTATACTCGACATGAAGTATCTTTTAAAGCTAGTTTAATTGTTATAATATATCAGCTTCAGAACAGTGTATAACATGTTTTACAGCTTAAAATTTAAATGCTGTGAAAGTGTTTAACAACTATTTGCTATTTATGCAAAGCAACATTATCACTGCCTGCCATGCAGCACTATCTCAGCATCGACGGTAGATTAATTAATATTTAATCAATCTAAAGGAAATATATGAAACGTTACTTATTCTAACATTCCAATGAAATTTCGAGATTGTCGTGTTAAAAAGTAAAAAATTATACGTAACTCTACTTAACACTTATCTTAAGTTTCTTGCTTCATGATTTCTTTTGAAAGAATTCTTCAACGTTTAACATTACGAAAACATTTAATTACAAAAAGCTTGGTAGTTTAAAACTCGTTATAAAATTCTTAAATTCGTTAAAAGCCTCCGCATTTATTTTATCACTAATCTTACTTAATTAGCCTAATAAGATCGTTTCAAACTTCAGAGAAATTCAGCACTTCGCGAGATTTCGCCAATAAACTTCCAATAGAATCAACTATGTTTAAACTTTTCAATGTGTAACGCTAGCAAAATCGTTCTAAATTTCCTAACAGGAGATTAACTGCTACGGCAAACGCTACTCTAACCTAAACGGTATTATCCGTATCTCAGAGAAAAGCTGCCTCGAAAATTCTAACGCTATTAAATATCTTTTCAAAGCTCGAAACTTCGATACTCTCGTTACTCCTCTAATTGGAAAATTTCAACGCTCTAAAACCTCTGCAAATCGACTAAATCTTGCAAATACTAACCTCAAAAATTCTACCTCTTACGTGTCTACTGTGATTAAATGCTCTAACAATCTCCGTAATCGAACAACGCTACTCCCCTCAACAATTCTATCTCCAAACTGTCAAATCGCTACGCGGACCTAACCTCTAAATCTCAACATTATTCAACCGTTTGTATTATAACATTTGCAACATCACAAAACTCCTCCCCGGGACAAACTTCAAAAAATGTCTCGTTAAACATTTCAAACATCGTTTAAATATCTCTGTTATCACTTGTCAACATCTTATCTATCCGAAAATCTCTATCGAAAGCGTCTAACACACTAGAACTCTCCAACGTTTCACCCTAAAAATGCTTCGTTACAGTTGAACCGCGGTACAGAAGGAACTCGACGTCCCGAAAGAAAGCAGTCTTATCGAGCTTCGTGTAAGCTGCTTAGAGAGCGTGATATCGCGACGCGTTCTCTCCTCTCCGGCTCGCGTTGTTTGGAGAGGATCGCAAACAAGCTGAAATAGCGGCGCTGCTTAGAAAAAAAACTCCGGCGGTTTCCTGCTCGGCAACGTTTACTCGCTCGCTCGGCCAACGCTCGTCGATAAATTGCCTCCGCGTGTATACAAGCGGTCTCGAGTTTTACGCGCTCGTTACGAGCTCTCGAACGCGCCTTTCGAGCGGAGCCCGTGGAAGAAGCCGCGTTTCGTGCGCATCGGGGAGACTATCGGCGCGAGCTTCGAGTTGTTTTACATTCGTGTAAAATCAGCCGCGTACATGGATGCGCCGTAGTTCGAACGCTCGAGAGGATTTACACGAAGAACGCCGGGTGTCGAGTTTTGTTGGGAAACTTTCTCGATTGAACAATTTCGAAAATTCTCCTTTTCGTCGTTTTCGCACACTTTTGCTTCAGACGCTGATTAGAATGAACGTTGGGAGATTGGGTGCTCGAATTTTGTACTCTTTTGAATATACAATAGGAAGAAACGAGATGTTTCTTTTTGAAATAAAATATTTTACATTTTTTTTTTTTTTTTGGAGAATGCATGAGTTAGGGATAAGTTGCGCAAATTCGTAATTGATGGGTTTCGCAGTAATTGGAAATGAGACAGTTGTTTCTTCAAATACACTTCTTTTTGGGTATTGATACATGAATTAGGTGCGATCGATTATTGAAATTTGTATTCGATAAAGTTCATCGCAAGTGGAAATATAACGTTTTCTCTTTGATATATATATATATATACACATATATATCTTCTCGAGTGTTGATACATGAATTTGAGGAATTTGTGTACTTAATAAGGTTAGCAGTGAGAAAGGATGAGACGTTTCGAGAGGATTCTGTACCGACGAGTGCTCGACCACTGTGTATTTTCATTTTCAGATCGAGTGGTTTTCTTCGCTTCGTATTTTCGTAACTTTGAGCAACTGCAGATTCTTATTCCGTTACATAAGCGAGATCTTCGTTTTTTAATATGTTCTCAATTGTTAAATGCATCGCTGCGAGCTATAAAAATGTTTCGTTAACGTTACATCATCAGCACTTGTCTGTAAAGCTTATTTTATTAACACTATCGAAATTTCCTTTTCAATCGCTCGTTCGTTCTTTTTTCTTCTTTTCGTTCATAAATTATCTATTGTCTGCGAGTAAATAATTGAAAGAATTGCCGTGTTAGGAGTATTCTCCTTGCGAGTTTCTTCTTTCCTTTAATTAGTCGTTGTTTACGTTCGTTTATATAATCCGTAGTGTAATAGTGGTATCGTAAATACGTTTGTTACAGGTATCTTTATAAAATCGGTATTGCCGGGAGGGCAAGCCGCGGAAGATGGCCGTTTGCGCGCAGGCGATGAGATTTTGGCAGTGAATGGCCACGTTTGTCACGACTTGACCCATCGAAAGGCTGTTCAGCTTTTCCGCAATATCAAAACTGGACCGGTTGCCTTGCACCTTTGTAGACGCGTTAAAAACAAGGAACTACAGTGAGTACGGCAGTGTTGTACTGTTACAATAGTAGCGTCCCTACGATTATTATCAATGGTTCTTTCAATCAACACTCGATACTATTTCTGCTACATTTCGCCGATCCTGTTGAAGAAACGATAGTTTGAAATAATCGAGATAAGGCTGCTGTGTTATACAATTTTACACTTAGCATACATCGTGCTGGTTATGAGAAAAGAAAGATTTGTAATACTTCAACAATCTTGTCCTATTCATAGAACTTTTTATTTTACTAATTAGTGACATCGCTTGGAAAGATGACATGTTGAAAATAAATTTTGAAAAAAGGTATCTTAAAACAGCGATTAAATTCTCGATAAATACTTAAAATTTTTAATTGCGAGATTACACGTCGTAGAACGCAATCTGTGTTACTTTGCTATGTCTTTAGAATTTTAAGCGATAATTAAATTGGCACGCCAACCGTGTCGTTCTTTTTAAATAGTGTTTCCTAGAACACAATCTTCGAACGTTACATGTTTCAGATAATATTGTATGCTTTCTTAAATACTTGTAACACGGAAACATTTTTCATTTACGTAACAATACATTATTCCAACGTTGCGCAATTGATAACGACCGGACTTCGTCAAATCTGTATTTTCACAATCGCCTGCACGATATGTACCAGTCGCTTAATTAAAATAAATAAAAACAGTACGGTAGAATTGTGAATAATTTCCGTTGTTACATTTCAGAACAACGAAGGCTAAGTCGTGCGCAGACCTTTTGCTCGTCGACGCGTGAAGAGAAGCTGTACAAGAAGAATTGTAAAAAAAAAAAAAAAAGGAAGAAGAAAGTAACAAAAAGACGAAGAGAACACTCCGTAACCGTTGTATAAATAAATTCGGGAAATGTACATATTGTAAATTTGTATAGTCTCTTGGAAATAAAATAATTATTTAATAATTGTCCGAAGTGACACGCTGTTGATTGTTGCACACCGTCGTTCTTTTTGTTTTTGCTGTAAAACACATCCTCAAGCACCTTAAAATTACGACCTCTTTATTGTCCTCTATAGTAGTAATGATAATTTTAATAATTGAAAAAAAAAAAAGAAGAAGAAGAAATCG